TTGGTTCGGCCAAAGGTACATCATTCGTTGTTTCCGGTGGTGACTTTATGCTGCTACCATAGGGCCACCAGTTCTGTGTTGGTGGGCTCTTTGTGGGTTAATCTGGTTTTCCTGGTTTCTTGTTCCAAGGCCAGTGTCTCTCAGGTTGTCCAGTGTCATTAAACCTTGCCAGCCTTTGATCTACCCTCATGCTCGTGATATTTGGAAGTACACTGCTGTGTCGGCCATTTTTGGTAATACGTCTTGGATGATATTCGAGCATGGGGGTTTTGGAGGTCTAACATTCTAGAATTGGCCAGTGATGGCCTGGCTGACCAGGGCCAGTTTCTTCCTTATATCCCTAACGAGGAGGGAGGTGGAGCCAATTAGCTGGTGGCTAGTTTCACAAAGGTTTGGTGGTTTGTTGTTTTTGTTCGGGAAGTTTTGACATTTTAGGGGCTACGGTCTTGTTTGAAACCATGCAAGGGTCTGTTTTGATTCACCTATCTTTCTGGGTGCCATTTAAAGGTTATCATCTTTGCCTAGGGTGCCTTTTCCTAGGCAAATATGATAACCTTTAAATGTAAGGTGATCATAGGCCATTGCTCCCTGTGCCTCTCTTGAGGGGATCAGGTTCTGGCTCGTGGTCTCTGGTAGGCATAAAGAATTCTGCGACTAGTGACACTAAGTAGTATGGCACTTAATTATCATGATAGCTTCAGGGAACTTCCAGGGGCTCACCCAGAAATTGGCATTTCATTATATTCAATGCCTTTTTTCACAATTTTTTACTGAAGTGCATTTCATATTTAATACTGTCCCCTCCTTATCATTCAGCATTGGTGGAGTCACTTTTGCTTGCATTCAGTGTTGATTCCTTTACGGCACCATTTCTCCATTTCCAAGTCGTTTTATGAATTTTTTCACCTCTGGCCTGCTCATGCTCCTCCTGAGCCATCCTTTTGTCTTGATCGGGTTTAAATCTTTCTATTGTCACCTCAGTTTACAGTTCCCATTTGGCTCGTGTTATCTTTCTTAAGGCTGTCTTCTTGTTGGCTCTCAGCTCTGACTGTAGAGTTGGGGAGCATCAGACTCATTTCCAGAGGTGAGTTTCTTTTCATTTGGAGCCTTCTCTTCTTTTCAGGTGAAGAATGAATTAGCTGACTTCTAAAGGGGTCCTTTGGTGATTGATGCTTAGTTGGTTTGGCTAGTGGTGCATCATTGGTTGTCTGGTAACGGCTCTCCATCACTACCTATATGCCACTGGTTCTGTCCTGGTGGATGCCTTGTTGGTTGACCCTTTTTTCTTGGTCCCCATTACAAGGCTTACACTTCTCAGGTCGTCTTCAAGTGTCATTAAGTCTAGCCAGCCTGCGATCTATTCTCAGATCTTATGATGCTTGCAAATATGCAGCTTTGACCACGGTCTTACCCATTGTGACCTGGGCTGATATTTTAGCTCGGGGATTTTTGCATTTTAACAGGGTTCTGGCAGCCCAGTATTTAGTCAGTGTTCCTGGTCTCAGTTGGTCATGTGTTGTTTTGGGCTGTGGCTCCCAGCCTGGGTTCTCTTCGTTGTAGTATCTACCACCTCACTACCTTCCTGGTAAGTCCTGTTTTTGTTCTCACTGGTTTAGCTTCAGAAAGTCATCAAGGGGTTTGGGCTCCCACCAGAAACCCTGCATTGAATGTAATGAAATGCCTCTCTGGAGGAGCCCTGGTGGTTCCCAGCTGCGTCACCCTCCTTCCTTCCCTCCAGGTTTGTCGTTCGATTGTGGGTTGTTCATCAGCTCCAGAACTAAGCTGGGGAGTCAGCCGAGGGCTGGGGCCAAACCCTCAGCCCGCTGGTGGCAGTAAGTAATACTAATGAGTTTCGAGGAAGTTTGAGTGAATCAATTGTTGTGTGCGACTCGTTTGCAGGGTTGTTTGACAGTTTTGAGGCTTTATTTTCTGTGAACCCTCCAGTTGTCTATAAAGCTTTGTTGACTTTCTGGATATCTTTTTCTGGTGGCAGATTGTGGATGGCAGATTGTCACACTCCCCCTGCAGCTTTGTGAGGGGGGGGGGGGGACCATGCTCTGGTATTCAGTAGGATAAACAGAACTTCTGCAACTGATATGACCTTTTAATATGGAGCAATCTCAGTGACACAGCTTCAGGGAGCCACTGGGGCTCTTCTAGAAAGAGGCATTTTATTACATTCAACACTGGATTTTCAGAATATCCTCAATACAATTCATAAAGCCTTCCAATTTGTGCATTGTCAAAATGTCATCAAAGTTGAGTGAAGCAATAGATTTTAATGAAAACTCTTAAAAATTGTTTTGGGATTTGAATTTCTCACCAAAAATGGTCACAAATATTCAACAATATCCCCTTTGATTATGTAAATTACTTTCTATATACTTTGTGTCTTGTATTTAATTAATTTGATTGTTTTATGTTTTCATAAGAAAAATACTATGTGGCAACTCACCGTTATTGCTACAATTTTTTTTAAATAATATTCAGTTGCAACCTAAAAAATTAAAATTAAACTTAGGCGTTTGCTGATCTTTTTTGAATAAAACTCAAAATGTAGCTAATAATCTAGGTTTTCTGCTGGCAGTAACAACAAACGAACTGGTTAAAAATGTACACTTATGTATTTGTGAAATTTATGTGAAGATTTACACCAGTCTTTCACACTCCTGAGTGCTTTGTCAAGGTCTGAGTATGCTGTTAGGAAGAGACTTCCATCTCAATGACTAAACGACTTGATTTAGTCGTCTCAACGACTTGATTAGTCTTTGAGATGCAAGTCTCATCCTAACCACATACTCAGACCTTGACATGGGGGCGAGAGAGTGCAGTGCGGTGAAGGGGGAGGGGAGTGCAGGGAGTGCAATTACATAAGTGTGGGTTTTTATCCCATGTTTTGTGTGTGTGTGAAAAGACATTACTGTACTGTTACTTAAATGAAGTGGTGTATAGGTTACAGAGCATAGTGGGCTCCATCATCTCCACATTTGTGGCTGTGCATATAGTTGACCATCACTCACCTTAATGCACCCATTTGTTCACTATTCTGATCCTGATTTTTTCTTTAATGTTTCTGTAGCTTATTTGAGAACTTGGTTTCTATCTGTATCCACTTGTTTGTTTACCTCCTATGTTATGTGATGTCTCTTGTCTGATCCTTTCTATTCATCTTAGTATTTTGTATGTGGTGATTGTGTCTCGTTTCTTCTTCTCTTCCAGTGACGTGAGGTTTAACTTCTTTAGTCTTACTTCGTAACTCATACCTCTCATCTCTGGGACTAGTCTGGTGACATACCTCTGAACTTTCTGCATCTTCATTTTATGTTTAATGAGGTAAGAACTCCACGTTGTACCACATTTTCTAGAACTGGTCTGACTCGTGTGGTATTCAAGGACTTGAACGACTTTCCTGAAAGCAGTTATGTTGGCCAACCTTTGCCTATGTAGCTGATAATATTCATATTTTGATAATATTTGATGAAGGCTTCTGGTGACAGAGTTAATGTAATATCAACCCACATAGTAAGTGTGGGAGTGTTTGGCAATGGTTGCTTGTGAATGATGTGGGGTGGGTGGTAGGGAGTGGTGTGGGTGGGTGGGTGGGTGGTAGGGAGTGGTGTGGGTGGGTGGGTGGTAGAGAGTGGTGTGGGTGGGTGGGTGGTAGGGAGTGGTGTGGGTGGGTGGGTGGTAGAGAGTGGTGTGGGTGGGTGGGTGGTAGGGAGTGGTGTGGGTGGGTGGGTGGTAGGGAGTGGTGTGGGTGGGTGGTCCATTCAAATTTCTAGTTTTATGGAAAACAATGAGTTGCACAACCCAGGACAATATGGATTTAGAGCGGGAAGATCCTGTCTGTCACAGTTACTCAACCACTATGACAAAATCACAGAAGCTCTAGAAGAAAAGCAAAATGCAGATGTTGTATACACAGACTTTGCAAAGGCGTTCGACAAATGTGACCATGGGGTGATAGCACACAAAATGAGGTCAATGGGAATAACTGGAAAAGTAGGATGCTGGATACTCAATTTCCTGTCGAACAGAACACAAAGAGTAACAGTCAATCAAATAAAATCGAGTCCAAGCGATGTTAAAAGCTCTGTACCTCAATGTACAGTCCTTGCACCACATTTTCCAGAACTGGTCTGACTCGTGTGGTATTTTGCTTTCGCATGCCGTTCCTTATTCTCATATTAGATATAGACAAAAATACACATCACAGCTTCGTGTCATCCTTCGCAGATGGCACAAAAATCAGCATGAAAATTACCTCTGCTGAAGACATTGAAAAATTACAAGCAGATGTCAACAAAGTTTTCGATTGGGCAGCAGAAAATAACATGATGTTTAACAGTGTAAAATTTCAGGTACTTAGGTACGGCAAAAATGAGGATCTGAAATATAATACAGGGTACAAAACACAATCGAATCTTCCCATAGTAGAAAAACAGCATGTTAAGGATTTGGGAATAATGATGTCCGATGATCTAACGTTTAGGGAGCATAACCAAGCAAATATTGCGTCAGCCAGAAAAATGATCGGATGGAATACAAGAACTTTCAAATCCAGGGATCCCACCACAATAGTTGTACTCTTCAAGTCACTTGAAGGCGCAATTTAGAACATAATTTTCTCTGTTGTGACTAATCAAGAGGAGGGGGGGGGGCTGGTTTTTGTTGGGATTGGTCTTCTAAGGGACTCACTGGGCCTTCAGCTGGCATTACTTTTGCTTTTTCATGAGATAGCCCCATCTTCCCCTGTGCTTTGCCTCCGTCTTGGTCATTGGCTTCTCTACTCTGGTCAGTCATCGTCTTTTCTGCTGCCTTTTTCCTACTTTTGGCCCATCGCTGCTTTTCATGGCTTCTGCACTGGAGTGCCTTGTGCCATCTTGCAACATTTCTCTTTTTCAACCTTACAGAGGCTTTAGGAGCTCAGTCTTGTTGGCTGCTCTTCTCTGAAGGGTTCTTCCTGGCCTGTTGGATGTGGTGTGGTCTTTGGGGCTGGTAGCTTCAAGTGGTTCTTCTACTGATGTCTGAAGACCTAACGTTTAGGGAGATGGATTACGAGAACTTACGAATCCAGGTATCCCATCACAATGGTTGTAATCTTCAAATCACTCGTGCTGTCCGGCCTTCAATACTGCTCAGTACTCACTTCCTCCCTTCAGAGCAGGAGAGATTGCTGAAATAGGAGGAGTACAGAGAACATATACAGCACGCATAGATCCGACAAAGCACCTAAATTATTGGGATCGTTTCAAAGCTCTCCAAATGTACTCACTAGAAATGAGACGAGAGAGATATCAAATGATATACACGTGGAAAATACTGGAGGGCCAGGTACCAAATCTACAAAGTAAAATAACAACAAACTGGAGTGAAGGATATGAAAGAAAATGCAGAATAGAACCAGTGAAGAGCAGGGGTGCCATAGGCACAATCAGAGAACACTGTACAGGGATACCTCGGTTTAAGAGTTTAATCTGTTCCTGGAGACGGCTTGTAATCTGAAAACTCGTAAACCGAAGCTGATTTCCCAATATGAAATAATGGGAAATGAATTAAACCGTTCCTGACTACCCAAAAACCTCACTTCAAACTAAATTTTATACCTAATTCATCCAAATCTACACTACAAAAGTATGTTCAAGTTATTACTTACCATTGCTGATGACTGCTGTTGGCATTTGGAAGATGGTGAGGAGGGAGGAGGAGAAGAGGTGTTACTGTTTGGACGGGGAGTCCCCTTCCATTATAACATCAGGCAGTGAGGACCTCTCTGGAGTGTGCATTCTCTGGCACGTTTTGCCTGCATACTACTAGGACGTGCTTGTGGCTCACTGCTTGCTTGTCTTACTAAGAAACTGTCTAAAGGCATTTGTTTTTCCCTACATTTTAACACTTGTCTGTAGTAAGACATCACATTGTCATTTAAAAGATCAATGCAACGGCCTGCTACAGCTTTATTTGGGTGAGTTTTTTCAACAAAACTTTGCAGTTCTTGCCATACTTCACACATTTTCTTAATGAGGAAGGGACATTCTCTACTGCCTCTACTCACAACTATTTTCTTTGGTTGAACCTTACCACTGGCTTTCTTGGGACCCATTGTGAGATATATAGTAAAAACTTTTATGCTGAAATGGTCAAATATCCAACAAAACACTAAATCCTGGTGAAGAATTCAGGCGGGATAGTCACTGGGCGCGAGGCACTGGTAAACTGAGGCGATCGCCGTGCTACCACGCGCTAGGTCGGCCCGTACGTGTATAAACATGCGTGTATCCCGATGCAACGCTCGTATCCCGATGCAAATTTTCCGAGCAAATCCTGCTCGTAACCCGAAAAACTCATAACCAAGGACGCTCGTAATCCGAGTTACCACTGTATAAACATCAGAGGTCTACAATTGTTCAACATCCTCCCAGCGAGTATAAGAAATATTGCCAGAACAACCGTGGACATCTTCAAGAGAAACCTTGAGGTACCTTGGGGGTTCGATCTACAATGGTGATCAGGTGGCTTTTCTCGTTGTGTCCCACCTGCAGGCTTCTTCTCGGCGAAAGTATGAAGTCTCTTGGTGTTCTTTTCACCACTTCCTTTCTCTTCGTAGATTAACTTCTGTTTTTGTTTGTGTTGTTTTGTCTTTCCTTTCTTGGCTCTTTCAGGACCAACATTTTATGCTGAATACTGTTGCCTTTTATCGTGCGGTGCTGGCGGAGCCGCTCCAGCTTGCGTTCGGGGTAAATATCATTTCGGCTTTGTTCCGTAAGCTTTCGCATGCTTTTTACCCCCTATGGCCTGCTCAGGGGCCGCCTGAGCCGTCCTGGTCTTTGTATCGGGTGCTCTCTTTCTCCCTTCTCGGTTTGTTGTGGCCCCCCTTCAGTCCAAAGTTGTTTTCAAGATGCTTTGTTTTTGTAGGCTTTGGCTTCTGGGGGTCGGGTCGGTGAGCTTCATGCTCTCCTCCGGTGAGCTTCATGCTCTCCTCCGGTGAGCTTCATGCTCTCCTCCGGTGAGCTTCATGCTCTCCTCCGGTGAGCTTCATGCTCTCCTCCTGTGCAGGGATTTCTACTCGTTCATTCCTGGTGGACGTTTTGTTCATTTGCAGCCATCTTCTACTTTTCTGATGAAGAACGAAATGGCGGGCTTCCAGAAGGGTCTGTGGGTTATTGATGCTTGATTGGTCAGGCCCAGGGGTGCATCATGTGCTGTGTCCGGTTGCGTCTTTTTGCCGTTACCTGCACACCTCGGGATGGGTGTCTGGGGACGCGCTTTGGGTTGATCCGATTAAATGGAGACTACCGAGACATTACCGAAAATGGTGCATTTCATCACATTCAATGTTCCAGTTATACATTCTCAAATACTGTATGCTTTATAACAAGTAGCATAAATGTTTTCCAAATGTACTCATGCTAATGGATATCAAATCCTAATTTTAAGTTTTCCTCTTTTTGCAGGTCACTAATTATTAATTTTATTATATTGCAACTGACAGTTTTTCATAATTTGTTGAAAGCTTCACATCAGTAGCTCCTTGAAGCTTTGACACCAGAGTAAGCAAGCCTTAGGTAGCACACCAGACTATATGACATCCACAAAAACCTTCTGTGAGCCAAGATTAGAATTTAGCTCCCACTGCAAAGTGAGGGGAGTCTGGTGAACAGTGATCATCCCAAAACTGAGAAAAATCCCACCAAAAAGCAGAAGTGTCCCAGAACATACACCTGCTTGGAAGAAGTTGTAATCCTGATGAAAACAGTCATTATTGGAGCATACCTAGAGAAGGTTTAGGGACTTGTCATACTCCGCTAGCTCAGCCTGGGGCCCAAGCTTGATTTGTGATAACTTGGTCCAACAGGTTGTTGCTTGGAGCAGTCTGCAGGCCCACATATCCACTACAGTCTAGTTGGTCCGGCACTTCTTGCAAGAACTTATCTAAGTACTTCTTGAAGGAGTTCACATTTGTTCCAGCAACATTTCTAATGCTTGGTGGGAGAGAATTGAACAGCTGTGAACCTCTGATATTCATAGTGCTGTGCTCTGAAATTGTGCCTACGGCACCTCTACTCCTCACTGGTTCTTTTCTGTCTTTCCTTCTGCATCTTTCACTCCAGTATGTTATTATTTTACTGTGCAAATTTGGGACCAGGATCAAATTTTTCTCTATTTTCCATGTACTAGTATATAATATTTGATGCCCCTCTCATCTTCTCATGGGAGGAGGAGTACATGTTGACAGCTTCGAGACAATCTCAACAATTTAGGTGCTTTATTGTGTGTATTCGTGCCGTATATGTTCTCTGTATTCCCTGTATTACAGAAATATCTCTGAAATCTGCTCTGCTCTGAAAGGGGAAGTGAGTATTGAGTGGTTCTCAAGACGAGACAGCACAAGTGGTTTAAATAGTATTAGCAACAAAATTAGTATGTGGGCATCAAAAACTTTTTTGATGCCTGAAAGTATGCATATAAGTGGCTTTAGGTTTAGTATGTACTTGCAGTACCTAGAAATCCAACATTTGCCTTGTGTCCCATTTTGTATGTATGTACTTTATCCTAAATAGATATTTTACTATTAATATTATTATGAAATGATAGTGAGATTTATTTCAAGAGTCAAAATAATTTCCATTACATGCACAGAGAGCTATTATATATTTATTTAAATCATACATGTAAAACTCGGATAATAATTGTTTAAATCGTCATATGATGATAACCTTTACCTCGTGAATCAACATATGGCAATAACTACTGTTTAAGGGTTAAATGTTAATTGTATGTCATGTAAGAGCAAAATGCAGCACAGTACTCTATTTTGTATTTTTATCTTTTTCAGTTGGTAAAATCACTTCTCCTCGTCATTATTCAGAAGCCTTTCCTGTATAAGGTAAGTTAATATATTATTATACTGTGATCATTCTCTAATCCAGATCTTGGTGCCCCTAATCTATGGGTAATTAGGACAATGTCTGATCTGGTATATATATTCAGGTAGTCTGGTGTAGGTCAGATCTGAAGTCAGTGTATAAACATTTAAATTATTTCATTATTGTATTAATTTTGTTTCAGATATGATTATGATTATTAGAAATAGATTGAGTCTATCAATTTTGCAAACTACAGTATATGAGACGAACCTTGATTTGTTACATCTGGAGATTCGTTGCAACCAAAGATACCTTTCAGAGGCATTTATGTGATGCATTTTTTTTTTACACAAGAAAATCCATTTTTATACGATACTGTTCCACTACAATAATGGAGACGGGGGGGGAGAGAGGCCAGCAGAGGAAGAGAGAGGCATGCAGAGGTAGTGTCAGGGGGAGACACTACCTCTGTCAGAGGTAGTGTCAGAGAGCTCCAATGCCAGAGAGTTCCAATGATTTAAATAACATAAATGTGATACAATGGAATCTCGGGTTACGAGCGTCCCTGTTTACGAGTTTTTCGGGTTACGAGTCCGATTTGTTAGAAAAATTTGAATCGGGATACGAACATTGCATCGAGTCACGAGTTTGTTTATACGCGTACGGGCCGACCTAGTGTGTGGTGGCACGGCGATAGCGCCACAGTTTACCAGTGCCTCGCGCCCAGTGACTATCCTGCCTGAATTCTTCACAAAGATTTACAGTTTATTTTTGGAGTTTTTACTATTTGAGCATAAAATTTGTCATAATATACATCGCAATGGGTCCCAAGAAAGCCAGTGGTAAGGTTCAAGGCAAGAAATCACATGTGAGGATGACAATAGAGGAAAAGCAAGAGATCATTCGGAAGCATGAAAATGGTGCACGTGTTGTTGAACTTTGTAGGGAGTACAACAAATCCACATCAACGATATGCACTATACTAGCCAAGAAAAAGGACATTATGAGTGCTAAAGTGGCAAAACGAATATCAACAATCACGAAACAAAGACCACAAATACTTGAGGAAGTGGAAAAGTTATTAGTTTGGATACACAACAAGGAGTTAGTGGGTGATAGTGTTTCAGAGGCCATCATTTGTGAGAAAGCCAGGGTATTGCACGAAGACCTTGTAAAGAAAACCCCTGGAACGAGTGCAGATACAAAAAGGCAAGCAGGGGAGGGTTTGAGAAATTTAGAAAAAGAAGTGGTATTCATAGTGTTGTGAGGCATGGGGTGGCTGCCAGCTCAGACAAACCAGCAGCTGAAAAATTTATTGAAGAATTTAAAGAGTTTGCAGAGGTTGAGGGATACCTCAGCCCAATTGAGCTCAGCTTAATTGTGATGAAACAGGACTGTTCTGGAAAAGATTGCCTAAGAGGACATACATTACCAAGGAGGAAAAATCATTGCCCGGATACAAGTCTATGAAAGATAGGTTTACGCTTTTCTGTGTGCAAATGCAAGTGGTTATTTGAAAATTAAACCCTTGCTAGTGTATCATTCTGAAAATCCAAGGGTTTTCAAACAGTGTAAAGTGCAGAAAAACCAAATGTGTGTAATGTGGAGGGCTAATAGTAAGGCATGGGTGACTAGGAATTTTTTTCGGAGTGGGTGAATGAAGTGGTGTGCCCTGCCATAGAAAAATATCTGCAGGAGAAACATTTGCCACTCAAGGCCCTGCTTCTTGACAATGCTCCTACTCATCTTCCAGGCTTGGATGATGAATTGTTTAACAGATACAGTAATTTTCTCATAGTAAAGTTCCTTCCTCCTAACACCACTCCTCTAATTCAGCCTATGGACCAGAAAATCATAGTGAAATTTTAAGAAACTTTATGAAAGGACACTTTTCCGGAAATGTTTTGAAGTGACTGAAGCCACAAACCTCACCCTCAAAGAATTCTGGAAACGCCATTTTAACATTTGTAGTTCTTTAAAACTTGTTAATTCGTTGACAAAGCCTGGCAAGAAGTGACTCAAAGATCACCCCCTGATCTCTAGCTGGAAAAAATTGTGGCTTGAATGTGTGACAGAACTAGACTTTGAGGGGTTTGAGCCTGTAAATGATGCGCCTATTGTTGAGGAAATTGTTACTCTGGGCCGGCAAATGGGCATGGAATTGGATGGTGATGATGTGGAGGAGTTGGTGGAAGAAGACAACAAAGAACTGACCACCGAAGAACTCCAAGCCCTTCAAAAGGAACAGCAAGAAGACCCAGCTGAAGATGTTTCTCCAGTGGAGGAGGATGAGGCAGCAGCGAATGTCCCTTCCACAACCATTAAGAAGTGGTGTCAGATGTGGGAAGAGATGCAAACTTTTATTGAAAAGAATCACCCAGAGAAAGCTGTAGTAGGCCGTTGCATTAATCTTTTCAATGACAATGTAATGCCTCACTACAGAGACATTTTGCAAAGAAGGGAAAAACAATCTTCCATGGACAGATTTGTTGTGAGAACATCGAGCAGTGAGCCACAACCAGGACCTAGTGGTATGCAGGCAAAACGTGCCAGAGAATGCACCCCAGAGAGGTCCTCACTGCCTGATGTTGTAATGGAAGGGGACTCCCCTTCCAAACAGTAACACCTCCCCTCCTCCCCTCTCCTCACCATCTTTCATACACCAACAGCAGTCATCAGCAATGGTAAGTAATAACTTGAACATACTTTTGCAGTGTAGATTTTGATGAATTAAGTATAAAATTTAGTTTGAAGTGAGGTTTTTGGGTAGTCACAAATGGATTAATTCATTTCCCATTATTTCTTATGGGGACATTAGCTTCGGGTTACGAGCTGTCTCCAGGAACGGATTAAATTCTTAAACCGAGGTACCCCTGTACGCCGATTTTTAGCCCGAGTGTGCAATCGAATGAAAAGTGACGTAATTTGTAAGAGGACGGGTTGCACTGGCGGGAGATTTGAAACGTAGCTTTCCTGCGAGGTTCCTTCCGTACATGGTCTTGATAATCCAGAGACACCAAAATGCAGTTACAGTACCATGTTATGACATCTGTTAAACTTGAGCAGTTAGCCTGAACTGGCCCTGCCGTCCTTGTTGACCAAACCACACACTAGAAAGTGAAGGGACGAGGAGGATGTATTGGTCCGTCCTGGACCTTGCAGTCCTTGATGGTCAGGGTTAATGTCATTCAGCTATAGTATGTAACTGTGCACCACTAACATTCAAATCATGCTTAGAAACTTTCAGTGTTTAATGTCACTTTTCTTTCTGGCACTACTGTTATTATCTTTTTGATTTTGTTTAATTTATTCATACTGCACTGCTCTAGCTGCTCGATATGGTTTCAACTCTCAGTAGATTTTGATATCAGAAAATACAAACTTCTTTGTGCAATTTTTACTAAGGTAAAATCTTACTCTAATACTGTATAACATTTCTAAAATATAATTTTTTTTTTAATATTTATAGTACAAAGCAAGATTAGCAAAGATAAGAAAAAACAGTTTGTTAGAAACTACACTGGGATGAACTGACAACCAATTCACCACATCTTCCGGATTCTGATTTTTTTTTATATAAATAACCTCAAAGTCCTGGATGAGAATCTCATAGACTGATATAGGCTGTTGTTAAGAGGTTACCCATACAGAGAGGTTCAGATTTCAAAGGGGGCACTGGATGTTGATTTAACTATGTATATCGCTAATTTCTTTTCATTTATTTTTCAGGATGGTTGATTCCAGATTTCTCTATTTTTTACTGCCCTGTATATTTTGTTTATAAGGTGTATAGTTCATGAACATAACAAAATATTGCAACTTTGTGTTTAAACTTTAATTATATGGCACAAAGTACAAGTCCTCATGCTGATGTCCATTCAGAATACAATTTAGGATAATAATGTTGATATCTTTTGTGTGTTACAATTAAAATCTCAAAAGGGTTTGTTCAGTTTTCTGTGCAGTAACATTTTAGGTTCCATTGGGATATTATAAATTAGTTTTTTATTGTTAATAATTAAAAAAATAAGGCATAGTGAATCCAAGATTATGTAGGTGCTTCGGTACACAATGCTAAATGTGTACAGAAAGGTAATGAAGTGTTTTTACTTCAAGCAGTAATTCACCTCACATAAATCATGTAAATACATTAGCGATTAATACAAAAATAAAATTTGTTATTTTCTGTGTCTGTCCTGATATACTATCAGCTTGAATTGCAATATGTATTTCTTAAACTCTTGTACTTATCCTTTGAGACGGAACTTGGAGAAATTAGAGAAATTATCAGTTATTAGTTTTTTATACAAACATTTTTATTTTGCATTTCTAAACCAGAAGAAACCATGATTAAATAGTAATTATTATTTTAGTGGTTGTCCACAAAGAATCTCATATGGATTTGCTGTGCATGTGTCACTTACATGTTATACCTTATCCTGCTTAACTGGTAATGTTTGCACAAGACTTCACAGTAGTAAAACATGTATTTAATCCTAATCAAGTTTAATTTTTTTTTTATATATTACTGTTGTATATAAGTTTGTACATGCTCAAATCATCAGCATCAAAATTGTATTTGCTCTGTAATTGGTTAATACTTTTATTATAATATTGTGACCTAATTTGTATCCTTCAAGGTAAATTATGTAAATTTCCTGATAATGGCCTGCAGTCATAATTGTTGTTGTATTAGTGTAGCTACAACTACTAACATTTGGTAAGTGAAGACTTTGTAAATGGGATAAATTGGATTATTTATGAGTGTATAAGAGAATGTTCATGGCTGTAACGGCAAACACTGACTGATGGTTATGTTTCTATATTGTTGTTGTTTGTGAAGATCACTAGATGCATCTCCAGTGTTTGCTCTTGCAACACACATTCTTGCTCATGAAAGATACTATTTCTAAAGCATTTAGGCCTTAAAATTTATTTAAATTAAATTAATTCATTTTGGCAATCATAATTTTATTTATATTAAATACTGTATTGTAACAATAGGTTTCTTACATTTTATCTCTTGTTTTCTTTTCCTTGTGGTTTAATAACTTTATGGGTTGGATTCATATACCACTGTAGGACTACCATGGGAAGGGAGTAGTAGTTCCATATTTTTATCCTCCACATTGCTATTTCAGGATATAGTAAAATCTCAATTATCATGCCCTTCTCTATCAGAAAGTTATCAGAAAGAAACTAAAGTAATGACTGTTAAAATGAGAACTCAAGACATCAGACTCGCAATACGTGGACATAAAATTGAGTGGGTTACCTCTTTTCAATACCTTGGAGTCATAATAGACAGCCAGTTGAAATTCACTCAAGAAATTTAATGTCTTCGGCAATGTTGTATAGCCAGAAATTGCTTTGAGCTCCCTGACAAGTCTTTGAGATGGTGCATTTCTACCAGTACTCAAAATGTACTATGTTCAAACAGTTAGGTTACTCAATGGTGCTACGTAGCCTTCCTGGCTTGGTGCCTTTTTTTTGATAATTACTTAGGTCATTCATTGACTATGATGCTCCTGCTCTTACATCCCTCAGTGATAGGCAATGGAGAAACTAGAAGTGTCTCAAACTGATGCACTCAGAACACTGCTGGGAGCACCTATATTTAGTTTAGACCTGTGGGTGCTTGTTTAGACCAGTGGGTGTTTATTTAGACCTGTGAGTGCTTGTTTAGACCAGTGGGTGCTTGTTTAGACCTGTGGGTGCTTGTTTAGACCTGTGGGTGCTTGTTCAGACCAGTGGGTGCTTGTTCAGACCTGTGGGTGCTTGTTCAGACCTGTGGGTGCTTGTTTAGACCTGTGGGTGCTTGTTCAGACCTGTGGGTGCTTGTTCAGACCTGTGGGTTGTAACACTGTAAAAGTGTTTGGGTTAGTTTATTTAAAATATATATAGAGTACATGAGTCACAGACAAGGATCTGAGAGGCGCCAGTTGTCTGCCTGAGATCTCACACCTCAAAGCGTTAATGACCTCAAGTGACCTGAGGTCAGATCATGAGAATTTCACCTTGCTTCCGCTAAGCTCTTAATTGTAGTCTGGTAGCCTTCAAACAAGCCGACGTTTAAGGAGTGGCTTGGTAGTGCCGGAGGCTATCTATTTGTGGGCGGAGTTAGCTACTAGGTTCCCCAATAAATACTCGGAGAGCTATCCAGAAAGAAGCATTAATCAGAACAGAGAACAGCAGACGAGCAGAGCAGGGAGGCTGTCGGCCGGCAGGGCGGGAGTCTCTGTCAACTACAGACCCCCCCCCCCCCTCTCTATTCAGCTATAGGCAGAGACACTCGGTGAGTGAGCAGTAAGGTGACTTGGTCGTGTTTACAAGTGTTGTGTGATGATCAGGGGCAGTCAAGTTGTAGGGTTCTCGAATTCTTGGATGATGACTCACTTTGCATATTAAACTGGAACATTTTAATTGGATTGCTTAAATTATGATACTTCATGGGAAATATAATTGTGAATTTATTATTTAAATTGTGTTTAACTTTGTTCCCTAGAGCTTTGAGTTGAGGTGAGAAAGCCTCTGTGGTTATTGGTTTCATGATATTAATGAATACATGTTTGGAGTTGATACATGGTACAGAGGGAACATACTAATAATGAACTCATGATAACATCTTTTGAGAATTTTGTGATACAGGCAAGTTCCATTCCTTGTCTTGTATGTAATGATCATGAATGGATGGTGGCAGCATTTCGTCTTCTACTATCTACTCTTCTACTTATACTATCTACTCTTCTCCTACTACCTATCTATTCCTCTCCCTCCACCCCTCTCTAAACTCTCACTTTCAACTAATGACCCTCCTCGCCCCTCCCACCTCTCTCCCTCTCACCCCAAACCCTCACTAATTACTTCACTATTCATTTCTTTCCTTTCGTTTTCTCTTTTACGTTTGTGGCAATGATTCTGTATTCTAGAGTTCTCTCAAGAGTTTCGGGTAACTGATCAAGTGACGGCGCCTTGTAGTCTTGGAACCTAGGTAGTCAAATACCTAGGTTACAAGGTGTTGAACGAGAGAGGTTGCCTTAGGAACTCTGGAGGTGCTCTAGAATAGTTAGCTAACTGGGGACGGGATAACGGACAAGAGAGAGCTGTTTCCCCCGGCCTCGTTAGTTAACTGGGGGGTGGAATAATGGACAAGATAGAGCTATTTCCCCCACCCCCCGTTACAATGATGGCAGCGGTGTTGAACAATGTTTATGTTGGTGTTCTTTTGAACATTGTTCAGTCCCACGTGTCTTTTTGGCCGCTCAGGCGCTATCAGGGAGATCTTGACAGGTGTTTATTATTCGCGATTTAGCGAGTTTCTTTTTCAGGCTAGGAGATTGTGATTCTCTGGTGTTGTGTTTAGTGATTTTGTGAGTTTTGTGAAGTTCAGGGAATGTTCACCAGAACTTGCGTGTGTAGTGATTAATGTTAGTAATAAGATTTGGCGATTTGGGAACTTAGCGGTGTTGGTAGTGCAGGTCAGTTGAGTGTGACAGGTGACCTCGCATGTCCCACGGGGACACCCAGCCACCGCTGGTCTCCAGGTCAGTGGGGAGTGGCAGGTGTAGTTCTTAAATAGATTTTAAGTAGTTTTTAGTGGTTCTGCTCAGATTATTGCGATCGACTGTTTTACTCCATTTGAACGCAATAACCCGAGGTGTACTGGTCTTGTACAGCATGCTAGGAGGAGGCTTAGTATGTCAGTAGACTTCACGTTGGGGACGCTCGACGTTAGATAGTCTGGTCACAGGGGTGGCAACAGTTGGGAGTTGTTGACCGGCGGAGAAGCTAGGGAAACACTCTGGGTCACGTAGGTGGCTGTAGGTTAAGGGTGGGAGTAACGGTTAATTATGTACTTAAGATTAGGAAAGGTACAGTTAAGTGAGGCTAGTGTTTGTCTATTAGTGTTGATTTTTTTTTGTGACAAGTTAAAAGTAGTGATGACCTTATTCTCTCTTCTCTAACTTTACTCTGTTACTGTTTTATGTTCCACCAAGTCAATATCATTCAGAGTTAATTGAATTATTAAAAATTGAAGTGTAGTTGTTGCCAGGAGGAGAGCGGTATGATAGGACTGTGTAACCCTATACAAACGACAGGGTCACACAAACATCTTGGGAACACGTATTGTCGCCTTTCTGTTCATTTCACAGGTGGGAGCCAGAAGAGAGGAGAGACGCACATACAGAAGAGGGAGACGGCTGCCTTATACCACACTCACGGCTGTTCCTCACCACCACGACGACCAGCCCCTACCTGGATGTCAGGGCCACCACCACCACCACCACCCCAGGGGACCCCAAGATGCAGCCCTCTCGGTCGGTCAACATTGGTCTACCCAGTGGACCCCAAGACGGACGGACCCCAGTGGACCCCAAGACGGACGGACCCCAGTGGACCCCAAGACGGACGGACCCCCAGTGGACCCCAGGTCGTTCTGCAGACGACCCCAGACGACCCAGTAATGATGGAAGAGGAGCAACAACGACTCCAGTCTGTCCCACCAACATCGGTCTACCCAGGATGGACCCCAGGACGGACAGACCCCCAATGGACCCCAGGTCGCTTGTCAAAGACCCATGGGAGGAGGAGGAAGAGAAGAAGAAAGAAGAAAGAGAGAAGAAGAGAGAGAGAGAGAGAAGAAAGAAGAGAGAAGAAAGAAGAAGATAAGCCAAGCTGAGACACGATACCTAGTGTCCCTTGCTGGTGTCAGCATTATTGCATGGAGCGTAATTGCAAGACAGGATCGTTTGCCTTGACTGGCCGCCCCTCCTACAAGCATGTTGCTCTGTTGAGTGATTCTTCCTGTGTCATGCGGACTTGATGTGGCTGTCAGAAGTAGCTCTCTGAAGGAGGCGTGCTGGAGCAACAGGGAGGAAGAAGAGTAGGATGGGATTTCTACTGTTGGCAACTATATGAAGGTCTCGAAACTTGTAGTCCCTATAGCTGTGAAGAACCCCAATATACGTCTCTCATGGTGACTGACGTAGGGCCAATTACAGATCAGCTGGGACAACCGAATTCCACGGTCCTGTGCTCAGTTCAAGTAGTAACGGCTTTCGGGTTGACCAAGTGTTGTTGTGCGTTAACGACGGAGAAGCGACGGAGGCAGTTGTGTTGAAGAAATGTGGTACAGGATTATCTACAAGACCAAGCAGTGACGTCGCCCAGCCAGAGACAATGGACGTCTGTCTATATATTTCATTTTTTAGAGTAGGATGATGTATATTTGTTTAGCTAGGATGTATTTTTTTCGTTAATAAAGTTGTCGCACACAGCTAGCTTGCTTTAGCAGTGTTGCAAAAACTTTATTTTCGGGGAGAAGGGGAGATGTAACACTGTAAAAGTGTTTGGGTTAGTTTATTTAAAATATATATAGAGTACATGAGTCACAGACAAGGATCTGAGAGGCGCCAGTTGTCTGCCTGAGATCTCACACCTCAAAGCGTTAATGACCTCAAGTGACCTGAGGTCAGATCATGAGAATTTCACCTTGCTTCCGCTAAGCTCTTAATTGTAGTCTGGTAGCCTTCAAACAAGCCGACGTTTAAGGAGTGGCTTGGTAGTGCCGGAGGCTATCTATTTGTGGGCGGAGTTAGCTACTAGGTTCCCCAATATAAACTCGGAGAGCTATCCAGAAAGAAGCATTAATCAGAGAGAACAGCAGACGAGCAGAGCAGGGAGGCTGTCGGCCGGCAGGGCGGGAGTCTCTGTCAACTACAGACCCCCCCCCCCCCTCTCTATCCAACTATAGGCAGAGACACTTGGTGAGTGAACAGTAAGGTGACTTGGTCGTGTTTACAAGTGTTGTGTGATGATCAGGGGCAGTCAAGTTGTAGGGTTCTCGAATTCTTGGATGATGACTCACTTTGCATATTAAACTGGAACATTTTAATTGGATTGCTTAAATTATGATACTTCATGGGAAATATAATTGTGAATTTATTATTTAAATTGTGTTTAACTTTGTTCCCTAGAGCTTTGAGTTGAGGTGAGAAAGCCTCTGTGGTTATTGGTTT